GAAAACTCTGTTCATGAGATCCATGATTGCAGCTGGAGCATTTGTCAACCCGAAGGACATCACTAGAAATTCGTAGTGCCCGTAGTGAGTTCGAAAGACTGTTTTAGATATATCCTCTTTTCTGATTCTCAATTGATGGTACCCCGACCTCAAGTCTATTTTTGAAAAGTACTTTGTACCCTGGAGTTGATCAAATAAATCATAAATTCTTTGTAGTGGGTACTTGTTCTTAATGGTAACTTTATTCAACTACCGATAGTCGACACACATTCTGAGAGACCCATCTTTCTTCTTGACAAACAGGACCGGGGCACCCCACGGTGAAACGCTCTGTCTGATGAAACCCATGGCAAGAAGGTCTTTTAATTGTTCTCTCAACTCATTAAATTCTGCTGGAGCCATCCTATAAGAAGGTATAGATATGGGCTGAGTGCCTGGCATGAGATCAATGCCAAAGTCTATGATTCTTTCGGGATGAAGTCCGGGAAGGTCAACTGGGAAAAATTTTGGAAATTCTCTAACAACTGGCACAGACTAAAGAGTTGGTGGTTCTGATTCTGGATTAATGATGTGAGCCAAATAGGCGATACACCCCTTACCGATCATTCGTTGTGCCTTAAGGTAAGAAATAAACTTACCTACAAGCGATGTTGAACTACCCTTCCACTCTAAGACTTCTTCATTTGGAAATTGGAACATGACTATCTTGGCATGACAATCTAACATCGCATAGCAGGAAGACAACCAGTCCATACCCATGATCACATCAAAATCTACCATTTCTATTTCTATGAGATTGGCTTTGGTGTTGCGACCTTGGACCGAAACTATACAACCTCTATAGACTCTGGTGACTTTCACTGACTCGCCAACTGGAGTAGATACTAGGAACAACTTACTAAGTTGTTCAGGTTCTAGTCCGAGGTTAATGGCAAAGTATGGAGTCACATATGAAAACGTTGAACCTGGATCCATTATGGCATAATCATTATGTGAGTAGACTAAACGTATACATGTAATAACTTCTGCAGATACTTCTTCACTCTGACGATCAAGTGTAGCAAACAAATGGGGTTGTCCCCCTCCCTGAGTAACTCGGTCTGCACCTTTTCCTTCTCCATGCCCCGGTCTGATTATGAGAACCACGAGCCTGAGGGGGTGCAACTGCAGTAGCTGAGGAACTAGAAGGACGAGTTGATCCACCACTGAAATTACGTCGCAACTTTGGGCAGTTAGCCTTTATATGACCAATGTGTCCACAATGGCAGCAACCATGAAACCCGAGCTTGTACTAACCTGAACGTTGCCGCTTACATGTTCCACAAAGACTTTGCTGGTGTGAATGTTGCTCAGCATGACTCTGGCTATGTGAGGATGAAGTCCTAAAATTCTGATTTTGGCGAGACTGATTTCTATAACTCTGAATACGTCTGAAGGAAGGCCCACTACCTGACTGATGACTGGACTGAGCTGGTGCTAATGACTCCTTATTAGAGGAATCCCTTCCACCTCCGCTGGATGTACCATTAAACTTGCCCGTTGTCCGGGCCTTCTTGTTATGCTCTTTTTCTTCTCTCCTTAGTTGTCTGTCTTTCTCTAAGTGCTTGGCAAATTCCACAATAGAGGAGAAGGCTTACATCCCTACTACTGCAGCTGATATCATATCCTTAATATGGTAAACTAAACCGCCAACAAACCTGCGAATCTTTTTTGCTTTTTCAGTCTTCAACATGTGAGGAGCATGTTTAGCTAACCTTATAAATTCCATGTAGTACTCTTGCACACTTTTATTCTCTTGCTTGAGCTATTCGAACTCTGTAGCCTTAGCTTCCCTATCCTCTTCTGGGATAAAGTTAGCCATGAAGGGCTCTTCAAATTCTTCCCAAGTAGGCGGACCATCATCTTCATCTCTTTCCTTTTCCCACATATCAAACCAAGTGCCGGCCACATCTCTAAGTTGGTAAGCAGCTAGCTCCACAACTTCATCATCAAATGCTTTCATCACTCGGAGGGCTTTCTTGACACCCTCCAACCACAACATCGGATCTTCATCAACTATAGAACCATGGAATACTGGAGGACTCAACTTTAAAAATTCATTCACTCTTGAGGACTCAGAATTGCTCTATCTATTTGATTGAGGTAGAATCTCATCTCTTCTCTCATTCTGGTTGGCCATAAAGGCTTTAAACATCTCCATAGCACTGTTGACAACATTAAACATCTGACCCACCTCGGGAGATATAGTTGCCTGAGTCGGGGCTGCTGTTGGGGGCGGTACTGGATCCTGAGGTACTAGATCATCATGATCCACCCCTTCTTCTCGTTCAACCCCGGGTATTTGTACTCCCTTTGTGGATTTGCCCCTCCTTTTCTGAGTCGAAGCCTTCTTGGTTCTACCTTGAGCCACAATAGTAGAAATAGTTTCTTGAGTAGCATCCTGAGTATCGATGTCAGAGTTGCGAGTATGAGCCATTTCTATGAGTTTTGGAGAAACGAATAAATTAGATAATTTCTTAGAGGTAGACTCTATTGCACGATCTAAAGTATGAAAAAAGAGACTTTTCCTAAATGCTTGTAGCTTCATGTTTATAAGTATGGCGCGCTTCATACACAGAAACAAGACTCCACTAACACGGATTCATAGACCCTTAGGACTCCATTAACCTGAGGCTCTGATACCAAGTTGTCACGACCCATTTTCTGAACAAGCCGGGACCGGCACTCGATTACTAAAAATGACCGAGCGAACCATCTCTGCTTATCAAATCTATTATAACTCCAAACTTTATATGCAACAAGGCAATAGTCTAACCAAATACTTTTGATTAATTTAAACATTTACATAAATCAACTCCAAAACTTTATTCATAGTAACCAATGAAATACTGCTAAGTTATTATCAAAAAACATCTAAATCTTAACCCAACGACTATATCTATGAAGCCTCTACTGATAAACTGACGCACTGCTCAGGACATGAGATTTCCTGGCTAGTTCTCTAAGTAAACAAAGAAATAGCTAAATAAAAATGACTCTAAGAAATATTCCACGAACAAAAACGGAGCTCACCAATAGCACTGGAAGGGAAGGAAGTCCTAACTCGTAGCCTGCTCGCCTGCAAATCCGGTTCCTACGTTGTACCGCAGACCAATGTAGGTTCCCAAAAGAGAATGTCAGTACCATCCATTATACTTAGTGAGTCTCAACAACCAGGGGCAAAACTTTAATAACATATACATTATGAGCAAAGGTTCTAAATGCATGTAAAACATAAAGCTTATAAGAATAATTCTAAATAATTTCATAATAGCAGTTTTTTTGAATATTTTACAGAAATTCTTTTCTTTTTCTTTCATAAAAAAAATATACTTCACTTTATACTTTGGGAGTTCCAACTATCCTTAATTCTTTCTCAGTCACTGTGTGATCGGTACGAGTTCGATCCCTACCTGATCGAATAGGCCCAATCCACGAGGTGCCACTCGCTTTATGGTTCTCAGATCTCATGTCTCATACCTTAGCATGACTAAGTAAATTCTCAGCAACGAGACCCTTGGCTCATGTGCTCCCTACTTTGGCATAAGTAGTTTCAGGAAGTCAACGCCTTGGTCAGGACCTTAGGCCTGGACGATGACGCCTTCTCAGAATAAAGGATACTCCCAAAAATTTCTTCTTTCTAAAACTTCTTCTTGTGACTTTTTGAGTCTAATTCTTTTATACATACTCACATTGGTATCCTTAAATGTAAGGCATGGCATAAGAATGGAATAAACATTCAAAAGTATTTATAAAGATTCTTGATCCTCCATGAATTTTCAACATGAAGATGGCATATAAGAATAACATAAAAATCAAAAATTTGTGCACATAAATCCAAATAATCATCTAAACTTTAGCTCGAAAATAATTCTAAGCTAATAGGCATTTACTACTCCAATTAAGTATATATTAACTCTTTTATGCAATTCATCAAACACCTTGTGTGCGTGCTTTTGTGAGTTAAACCACTTTAGTAAAGGGTTATATCAACTCACCTCAAAAATCCTTGAGCCAATACGTAGACCCCAGTCCAATTTATACCCGTCAAACAATCGATTCTAGAACAACCAGTGCATTTTAATCAATTTTAAAGTTTCATACATAAACATGGAATTTACTGTTGATATAGAGGAAGAAGGGAATTAACTATTCAATTCTTACCTGTTACTACTTTAGGATAATTGACAATAGGAAATTTTATATGCCTGATTTCAAAAATAAGTAAGTTATAATGAACCCTAGAATTTTTCCGTGCGTGAGCAATTCCTGGCTGCCTCTGTTCGTAAGGCTTTAAACGTTTTCTATGCCTGGCGTGAATAAACAGAACATTAGTTTTGTATTGCTTTAAGGTTTTAAGCCTTTGCTTTTTGAATGACACATATTTCTTACCTTTTCCAAGGCTTTAAGCCCTTTTTTTTGTTTTATTATTTTTGTCTTTTTGTTTTGTTTTGCCTTAGTTAATAATTAATGATACCCACTTTTAAATATTATTTATATTAAAATTATTAATATTCCCCTAATTGTATATCCAATTATTTAAGTATATACACACACACACACGCGCACANAGTTATTCTTGAGTTCTGTCATTTCTTCAATGTTTGTTTGGGTCAAATTGGCCCAATCATATGGAGGGTTGTTGCCTATTTGAGGCATTTTACCAACACAACCGGTGTTCCCTTTACTTTCCCTCATTTGATTTACCTTTACTCCCCTAGACTCTTCCGTAATGGTGTTTTCACACTAGTAGCCAGGAGCTAGAGAGTTTTGGAGAGCCCTGAGGATCACAAAGACCGTGGCTGGTATGCCAGGTTTGTTGCTGCCCCCACTATTGGTTTAGTGGGTGATAATAATGTTCCCTTCCCTGAGAAGTGGAATTTTGCACGCAAGTCTTTTTAACTTTCTCATACCTTTTTTTCTTCAAGTTTGTCAACTTTTCTAATTTTGCTTTTTTTTAGCAACCACGGGAGTTGTGAAAGACGTTCCCAATTTTCGTGATTGGGTAGAAAAGTTATTGATGAAGCTCATCAAACTCAAAATTTTCCTTCTCCCGTGGCCGAAGCTTCCGTGAATGTTGAAGTCGATACGGGTATCCCAACTATTTCATGCCTAGTCGAGCATGTTGCTATAAGTCAAGTTGAGCCCGCAACCGTTGATACTCCTGCCCAAGTTGAGCTCGTTGCTGGTGATGCTCCTGCTTCAGTATCTTCAACTTATCAGTGACTAGCTTTAGTTGTTTGAATATTTTTGTTTTGGTTTTATTCAGAAAATTGTGATCAAACCCTTGGTTTCATTTGAGGGTTTATTTTGAAAACGCAAGTCCCCAGACCTTTTCATGGGGCAATTTGTATAAACAATTCGTAGCTTTACAACTAAGTTCGTACTTAGTCTTAAGTTTTTTTAAAAAAAATATTAATAAGTATTGTTGTTATTACCTTGAACTTCTGTTTACTTTATTCTTGCCTTTATTTCTAAGGACTTATAGAATAATTTGCATTTTCATTCTTCAAAAATGCTTTTGTTAACCTCATGACTAATTAATTTAAACATGAGTTTTATAAAAGAGGGCCCTTTTATATTCGACACTTAATGAAGAAGACGTCTCAACTCCATAATGGTGTTTAACATAGGATAAAAGAAATAGGAACACACACGTTTCTTTGAAATAACTTTGACAAGTTTTTATTTAAACCTTGTCTAGTTTTGAATAACTCTTTACATTATTTGAATTACATCTATAACTTTCTCGTAACTGTTTTTCTTGTAATAGATTTCAAAAAGTAAAAATAATAAATACGAGGTTTTTATTTATAACCCGTTTCAGTACATAGCTTTTACCCTTACTATAGTAAGGTTTTCTTTGGCCTTAGTTCGTGACTTTTACTCTGCACTTGACTTTTTCAGGCTTGAACTTTGATTTTTCTCAATCTTCTTTGTCTTCTTTATACACATGCCTGTGTATATTATGTAGTCCCCCAAGTATTTGAGTGTTGAAGTATGAATCCTCGAGCACTTGATTATTCCTCTCATTTGGTCCTTTCCCTGAAAAAGGAAAAACATACGGGACTCGGAGGTACGATTATAGATGAAGAATGCTTAATCCGTTTTGAATTTCTATCAGCATATTTGTAACCCTGGGCCGGGAAGTTTAATGTATTCCACATGCCTTGCAGGTCGTGACTCATCATTTAGTACGGTCTAGCTTTTTGCCTATCATATAAAATCGTTAGTAAAATTTTAACAATTCGAAAATAGAATTTTAAAACATAGATACCTGACCGTGGGTATTCCTTAGAAGTAGTATCTCTTCAAATGAATAACATTCCAATGTAAAGGTAGTATTTTGCCATCCTGTTTCCAGTTCATATGCTCCTTTACCTGCAATATCATGAATTCTATAGGGTCCCTCCCGTATTGGACTTAATTTCCCCGAGTTAGATGCCTTCGTAGATTGAAAAACCTTTAATGAGCATGAAGTCCCCAATTTTGAAGAATCTGAGGCGTGCTTTTCGGTTGTAGTATCGTTCTATAACTTGCTTCTGTATTGTCATTCTTATTAGTGCACCTTCTCTTCTTCCTTCAAGTAAATCAAGATTTACACGCATTTCATCGTCATTAGATTCTTCAATCGCCTGTGAATCGTGTACTTGTCTCTCCTATCTCAATTGGAATTAAAGCTTCAGCTCCATAAACCAATAAAAACAGTGTTTCTCCTGTACTTGTTTTTGCTATTGTGAGATATGCCCATAAAACACCAGGTAACACTTCTGGCCAATTACCTTTGGATTCCTCCAAACGTTTCTTTAAATTGTTGATAATGACTTTGTTTGTTGACTCAGTTTGCCCATTACCCACCGGATGATAAGGTGTGGATGTAATCCTTTTGATTTGCCAACTTTGAAAGAGCTCTGTGATTTGAGCGCCTATAAACTGAGGGCCATTATCAAACACGATTTCCTTTGGCATACTGAATCGGCATATGATATTCCACCAAGTGAAATCTCTAACTTCCTTTTCTCGCACCTGTTTGAATGCTCCTGCCTCTACCCATTTAGTAAAATAATCAGTGAGTACGAGGAAAAATTTTACCTGTCCTTTTGCTTGTGGTAATGGACCCACGATATCCATTCCCCATTTCATAAATGGCCACGGTGCAATGACCAGATGTAGTAACTCCGCAGGTCTATGCATATTGTTACCGTACCTTTGACATTTATCACATTTAGCCACGAAACTCTCTGCTTCTTCTTCCATTTTAGGCGAATAATACCCTGCCCTAATTAGGGTTCTTACCAATGATCTTCCTCCTGCGTCTTCCTCCTGCATGATTCCCACAATGTCCCTCGTGTATTTCTCTCATTACGTATTCCGTCTGAGAAGGTCCGAAGTATCTTGCTAAGGGACCACCGAACATTTTTCGGTAAAGATTGCCTGGCTTTAGGCAATATCGAGCAGCCTTTTTTCGAAGCGCATGAGCTTTTTTCTTATCTTCAGGGACGGTACCATACTGTAAAAAAGAAACAATCTCGTTCCTCCAATCCCACGTTAAGTTATTAAAATTTACCTCATTCTTGTCGGGGTCGAGAACTGAATGAAACAAATGAATAACTGAAGCGTTTGCATCACTTGCCACGTCAGCCGCAGATGCGAGATTAGCTAGGGCGTCTGCTTCAACATTTTCGTCCCTTGGTATTTGTGTAACATTCCAATCTTGAAATTGTTTTATCAAATCCCGTACCTTTTCCAAGTACTGTTGCATCCTTGCTTCCCTGGCTGTATAAGTTCCCAGCATTTGATTAACTATGATTTGTGAATCACTCTTAATTATAATCTGATTTATGCCAAGTTCTCGTGCCAATTCTAAATCTACAATCATAGCCTCATATTCCGCCTCATTGTTAGTTATATAATGACATTTTATGGCTTGTCGAATGGTTTCACCCGTAGGTGGTACCAATGTGATCCCTAAACCTACACCTTTTACATTAGATGAACCATCAATGAATAACGTCCAAGTTCCTGGGTTAGCTCCATTGAACACCTGTAATTCTTTTTCTGCTTCTAATTGCATCCCTTGGCTAAAATCAGCCACGAAATCAGCTAACACTTGAGATTTTATAGCAGTTCTATGTTGGTATGTGATTTCGTATTCCCTCAATTCTATATCCCACTTAGCCAATCTACCTGCTAACTCATGCTTATGCAATATATTACTTAAGGGATAAGCAATTACTACAGTAATAGGGTGACACTGAAAGTAGGGTCTTAATTTCCTAGATGCCATGATTAATGCAAGTGCAAGCTTTTCTAACTGAGGATATCATGTCTCTGCATCTAACAAAGATTTACTAACATAATAGATCGGAGATTGTTTACCTTGGTCTTCTCGGACTAAAACAACACTTACCGCTACTTCAGAAACAACAAGGTAAATGAGAAGTTTTTCCTCAGCCTTTGGTTTTGCCAGCAATGGTGGATTTGATAAGTACGTTTTCAAATTTCTGAGCGCTTGCTGACATTCCTCATTCCATTCAAAATGATCCTGATTTTTAAGAGGTGAAAAGAATTTAAAGCACTTTTCTGATGATTTGGAAATGAATCTTCCCAAGGCTGCAATTCTTCCAGTTAATCTTTGAACTTCTTTTTTACTTGATAGCATATCAGGGATTTCTTCAATGGCCTTAATCTATGCGGGATTCACTTCAATACCACGGTTAGAAACAAGAAAACATAAAAACTTACCTGATACAACACCAAACGCACATTTCTCGGGATTTAACTTCATATTAAATTTGTGCAGAATTTGAAAAGTATCAGACAACTGTGATATGTGATCTCTCGAATGCTGAGTTTTAACGAGCATATCATCTATATAAACCTCCATGGTTTTTTCCCAAATGTTCTTGAACATTTTAGTAACCAGCCTCTGATATGTTATACCAGCATTTTTGAGACCGAAAGGCAATACTTTATAGCAGTAAGTCCCATTGTCTCTTATAAATGAAGTTTTTTCTTCATCTCCCGGATCCATTTTGATCTGATTATAACCTGAATATGCATCTAAAAAGCTTAATAGTTTATGCCCTGCAGTTGCATCAATCAACTGATCTATATGTGGTAGGGGAAATAAAATATTTAGGGCAAGCTTTATTAAGGTCTGTGTAATCTACACAAACTCGCCACATACCATTCTTCTTTATAACTACGACAGTATTGGCTAACCAATTAGGATACTTTACCTCGCGGATGGATCCAATATTTAGCAATTTTTGAACCTCTTCTTGAATCACCTAATTCTTGAAAGTTCCTTGCTTTCTTTTCTTTTGCTTGATAGGAGGGTATGATGGGTCTTCATTTAATTTGTGAGTCATCACCTCCGGTGGTATCCCTGTCATGTCAGTGTGGACCAAGCAAAACAGTCTACATTAGTTTTTAGAAATTCAATTAACTTACCTCTCATGCCTTGGCTAAGATTGGCCCATACGTAGACTTTCTTATCAGGCCATTGAGCGAATAACACAACATGCTCCAATTCCTCATTGTTGTTTTGATATTTTCATTTTCTTCTGGTTCTTAAATGGTGTCAGGCCTTGAATCCACATCTGTTCGTCCCTGTTCAGTTGAAGTTTGTGTTGTGGTGCCCTTAACTGTCTTCTGTAATTGCTATTTTCCTTCATTTTTTGTACTTGAATTTGCTACAGAATTGATGCTCCTAGATGTATGTTGATCTCCATGAATTTGACATACTCCCCAAAGTGATGGAAATTTAATGACTTGATGCAAGGTTGAAGGAACAACATCCATTTCATGGATCCATGGTCTCCCAAGGATCATATTGTAAGCCATCTCCATATCTACTACTTGAAACTTTTTATCTTTGATGACTCCTTCTGCGAATGTGGTGAGTGTTACCTCTCCTTTCGTCACAACACTAGAATTTTCAAATCCAGGTAGAGTATTGTCTTTGGTATTATTCTATCTTCTGCTTGTATCTCACGTAATACTCTTAGCAAAATAATGTTCACGAAACTACCTGGATCAATGAAAACTTGTTTTACATTAGTATCATGTACAATTAGAGATATTACTAGTGCATTGTTATGAGGGGTTAATACGCCATCTGCATCTGCATCATCAAATGTAATGCTTTCTTTCTCTATGACATGTCACACCCGTTTCCCTTGGGCAATTGTAACTTTGGAAATTTTGTTAGTTGTAGTGTATGATATGCCATTGATGCCTTTACCTCCGCTTATAATGTTGTCGGTTCTTTTGGGAGAAGGTGGCTTCGGGGGCTCCTGCCTGTTCTTCATGTAAGCTTGCTTACCTTTCTCACTGAACAACTCAGTAAGATATCCTTATTTTGATAAATGATCCACTTCACTTTGTAAAAACCTACAATCTGCCATTTTATGCCCATGGTCATTATGA